GGAGAGAAACTCAGAGCATCATGGGGCCCCCCAGCAGCCTAGGCCTATAGCAGCATAACTAAGGGAGGGCTCAGGGTCACCTGATCCAGCCCTAACTATAAGCTTTATCAAAAAGGAACGTCTTAAGTCTAATCTTAAAGGTAGAGAGGGTGTCCGCCTCCCGAACTGAGACTGGGAGTTGGTTCCATAGGAGAGGAGCTTGATAGCTAAAGGCTCTGCCTCCCATTCTGCTTCTGTGGACTCTAGGAACCACAAGTAAACCTGCACTCTGAGAGCGAAGTGCTCTGTTAGGATGATAAGGCTCTACGAGGTCTTTAAGATATGATGGAGCCTTGTCATTAAGGGCTTTGTATGTTAGGAGAAGGATTTTAAATTCTATTCTGACTTTTACAGGGAGCCAGTGGAGAGAAGCTAATATGGGAGAGATATGATCTCTCTTGCTAGTTCCTGTCAGTACTCTGGCTGCAGCATTTTGGATTAACTGGGGGCTTTTTAGGGAATTATTGGGACATCCTGATAGTAAAGAGTTACAGTAGTCCAGCCTGGAAGTAACAAATGCATGGCCCAGTTTTTCAGCATCACTTTGAGACAGGATGCTCCTGATTTTTGTAATATTGCGCAGGTGAAAGAAGGCAGATCTAGAGACTTGGGTTATGTGTGATTTAAAGGACATATTCTGATCAAAGATGACTCACAGGTTCCTCACAGTAGTACTGGAGGCAAGGGCTATGTCATCTAGAGTAACTATATGATTAGACAGCAGATTTCTAAGGTTTTCAGGCCCAAGCACAATAACTTCAGTTTTGTCAGAGTTTAGAAGTAAGAAGTTGCAGGTCATCCAGGCCTTTATGTCTTTAAGACATGCTTGAAGTTTGACCAGCTGATCTGATTCATTTGGCTTCATAGATAAATATAACTGAGTATCATCTGCATAGCAATGGAAATTTATGTTGTGCTTCCTGATAATATTGCCTAAAGGGAGCATGTATAAAGTGAAGAGAACTGGACCTAACACAGAGCCCTGTGGGACGCCGTGACTAACTTCAGTTTGTGTGGAACATTCGTCACTAACATGAACAAATTGAAATCTTTCTGATAAGATTTGACACATCTTACAAAACCAGAAACTTCTAAGCCGCTGACACCTTTTTCCACTGAACCTACTTACATTGTGGGAAGCATGTCA